TAATTAAATATATAATAATCATATATTTATAATATTATAAAAATTATATGCACGAAATAATACAATGTTCTAAAATCGTCATTTTTATTTATCAATATTTAATGTCGAAAAGTGAAAATTTACGAAAAAGTAGCCTTTTCTTTCTGCGATTAAATTCTTTTTGATAAAAAGTCGCCACATTTAATAAAAAAGTACGTAACTGAAGTTTAGTGATTTCCCAAAATCTTCTATATTCGGATAGCATGTTGATATAAAAACAATTCTCGTCAAGTATTCGCAATGAATGCACGTACGTAGTTCACGAAGTGCACGTATGCACTCAGAAACGTTTCATCTTCGAGTGTCGCGGCGAGAGCAAGTCTTGTAAACTCGACCACATCTTAGAATTTAATCCGAGTCAGTTTTATTGTCCAGGACACAATCTTCTATACTAGTCTGCAGAGTTCTCTACTCGTCGTCGCTCTCGTTCAATTCCGTCCGCGGTTTCTCTTTTTTTTTCGTCAAATTCTCCGCGAACGCAGTTTCGTAAAACAGAATTCGTGGAACTTCAGTCGGTCTCAAGTCTCGGATAACCGTCGAGTTAGTACCCCATAATACGACGTAATCCGTGTATTGATGGCTGGTTACATGCTTGGCAAAATAGATACCGAAGCATAAAAATCCGCGACGGGCGACGTCATCGTAACCCTTCAGATGCAACTGTTGCTGTGCCGTCGCTCCTGCTTTTATTTGGCAGACGGCGATATTTCGTTTCGCGCGATATCAACCGCGACTATAAATCCCTTCAAAGCAGAATATCGTATCGTAAAATATTGAGATATATCCATTTCCATCACATATGTAACACGTACGCGTGAACGTATGTTCTTGCGCATTATTTTTCGCTGCTCAAGATTACACCCGAGATTATGTATGTATGTGAATTCAGCTTGAATTTAATTTTTCGTGAACTACGTATTATACATGTAATTTTCTTCTCTGCGTCAGATTCATAAGCTATATATTTGTCATTATATAAATGTAGCTTTTTATTTCTTTCTTTTTCAATTTAAATTGAACTGCGTTGAACAATTAGCTATTTATGTATCATATAACGCGAAGAAAATTTCTTGTTAATTGTATACATATAATTTTACAATTAATCTTTTTTATAAAAAGTCAATAATTTTAGGATAAACAAAAATTAGAAAATTAAAATAACTCTATTCTATATAAACACGTTTTAATTGCAGAATGTATCTGCAGCTTGAATCAAGATTAGAATACTTCTGAAACTCCGTTTTTTTTTTAATAAGCTTTTAAGCGTGAGCAATGATTATACGTATACAAGAAAAAATATTCCAAGTTCTTTCCCAGAAAATGGATAATTTTAAATAGTTTCGAATATCATACGAGTGCATGAACAATATCTATGCACTGCGGTCTCATGCTAAAATCGGCGAGGCTTACGTGAATTTCCCCAGCTCGCAGAAGGGCACGTACTTGCATAAAGTCGTTGTAGCGCCAACGTAAATGCAATACGTGTTTCCGCGTGAAAATGCATGCGTGGAGCCATCCTCTCATAGACGAGCACCGGTGCAATGTCGACTTAAGCGAATTCTGCGGGCGAGGAGGCAACCCATCGTGGCGCCGCCGGTTTCACCATACGGAGAACTTTCATTTTGCGGGCCAGCGGAAAAATAAAACGCTAAGTCCCCCGCAACTTTCGGAAATCGCGCTCGTTGCCACAACACGAGTGTATTTCCGCGCTCATATTTCTCGGTTTTATTGAAATCGATACTTGCCATAAATACAGGTTTTCATTTTTGAAAAAATTAAAAGGAGTCATAAATTTTTATTAAATATTATAATAAAGACAATATTACATAATTAATAATGAAGTATTCTATTTGAAAACTTTCTATGTTGCCGTGAATGAATCAATCTACGATATATTACATTACGAGTACCTCATATTTTTTTCTGTATTTAGATTTATTAATATTAATGACTTCTTACATAGTAAATATAACCAGAGATAATATCTATTCAATATTATGCAAAAATGTTAATTAGCGTAAATATCTGATACGTTTTGCGCGCGAGAGATCAAAGGATATACTTCATTAGCTAGAAGGAAACGACATTATGATATTAACGTGGATAAAAAAATTCCTGCCGCGAGTAAAGATTAAAAAAGTACGCCAAGGGATTATTCATGAGTCTCTATATAAAGAACGGAAGGAGATTGATTGATAAAAATCTGCGATATGATCTTATTCTGAGAGATTCGTGTGCTTGTCGGTAGTAGAAAGTGTCGTAAATTGCGTTTTTTGGAGCCTTTTAATTTCACTGATTTTCTTTATGTCTAATGCAACTTTATCGCTGGCTATTCTTTCAAACCGTGAGCATTATGATTTTTATCACATGTGTCTCCCTCTCGAAATACAGATATCACGCTATGCGGAATATTATACCGCTATATTGGGATGTAATATCGATGTAATGTCGTACATATTATCAATAAAAATATAATATTCCAATGTATGCTTCTGGGGGAATATTAACGTTAAAATTAAATGGCACCATTAGCTCGATATGGCTACAGTTATGGCAATTGTAAATGCGAACAAGAGACATAAGAAAGGGATATAGTGTGTGAAAATATATATTCTACGCGATTTTATCCCGATTTTATTTACATAAATAGCTGAATATATATATATATATA